AAAAACTTCAAGTAAAAATAAAAATTTTAGCAGTTTGGTGCAATGCTTGGCGTGATGGTATAAGTTGGTATGTGGTAAGCGAAAAAACTTCACGCACGAATGGAATCATGCAGAAAATTACTTTGTGGCAGTTGGATGTGTTAGACTGTGCTTGGAGATTGTTAGAATTTCATTTCATTAACTTTAATGGAATGAAAATTCTATTTCATTTCAATTTGAAGAAATGAAAAGTTTATGAAAACATAGGACTGTAACATCATCTCATGTATGAAAGTAGTTAAAATTAGCAAAACTTCAATTTTATTCTAATTTCTGAAGCTTTAATCAGTTCTAAATGATGTAAGATCAAGCTTGTTTCTTCTTTATTCTTGTTTACGAATTAAAGTTGTTTTCAGACTTCCTGTATTTATTGAAACTATGGCATCAGTGCGTAATTTTGCTCTTCGCATAGAAAATAATAATTTTGCTTATTTGCATATTGATTGGGATCGAGAAGGCATTTTTTACAAATTTGATCTTGTCGAACTGCTAGTAAGTCGTAGTGGTACGAAAATAATATTAAAAATGTGAATAAATAAGAAATTTTGTATTATGTTCCAAAAAGTAATAATTTTGTAGTATGTTTCAGTCTAAAAGATCGGATGGAGCTGTCGCAAGACGAAAATTTGAGGAGAAAGTGAAAACCGAAAGTCCTACGGTTTCACCGGCTGAGGTTTCAATTTTTCCACTTTGAGTTTTATTCCAGTTTCATTATTTAAGTAGTCATCAAACAGTGTGGTCAGTAACAGTGATGTAAAGTCATTTTAATCTTCGTAGAAAATAAGTTTTATATTTTTACATATTTATAATCGTTGTATTCCATACAAAAATCGTTACCAAATCAAGTATTCAAGTAATTTCATTGTAATTACTTAAATGCTTACAGAAATAAATGTAATATTTTAAATTTTTCCAATGACTGAATATAGATTAATGAAATTAGCAGAAAATTTCTCAATTTCAAAATCAACAGCTTTGAATACTCAGCTTTTTGTTATCAACAGCTTTGAATACTCAGCTTTTTGCTTAATCTGATCGGTATTGTATTCAAGCATAATTCATTTTCATATTTCAATTTTTGTTTCCAAAAAATTGCCCCCTAAAATAAAGATTTTTCCCTCTCCTTCTATCAAGTATAAAGTTCAGATAATATGCCCAGTCTGCCTCGATACTTATCGTGATCCAAGAACTCTGATTTGTGGCCATACTATTTGCTTCAGTTGTGTTCAGCAGATGAAAAATATGGGTTAATATTGTACTATACTTGATGGAAAAAAATAATTTTTCTTCTAGTTATTGTTTTTAGAAGTATATTGGAGTTTTATTTATCAGCTTTTTGACAAGTAAACACATTTATTATGCGCGAATTTATCATTTCTTTAGTCTTAGATTTATCGTAGTTATTTTTAATCAACTTATGAAATTGACCCTTCGTTTTTTACAAAAAAAGGCAATTAAATTTAGGAGAAAGTAATAGCATTCGTTGCTTTGCTTGTCGCAGGTCAACAGTTATACCTGCTAGTGGATTACCTGTCAATTTCAGCTTGAAAGGTGATACTCCTCATTGAAGATGGATATTTTAGATTCCATATGCATTGTTATTTCCACTTTTTCAAACTGTCTGTTTTATTTTTGTTAGCTTCATAAGTTTAAACACGGAATGCATAATATGTTCTAAGGTGTTGTTTTTTGAGGTTGACTGCAGGCAGGAAATTAATTTGCGGATATTTATTAATAAATCCTCAGTTCTTAAGTCATACAGGGATCGAACGATCCATTTATTCCTTTCAGATGCAATTGAATCGCTTATAAAAGCGAAGCAGATAAAATTGTCTGGTCTTAGATGTACCAGATGTCGTCTGTCCTGCGATGATCAACAATTATGGATTTGTTTACAGTGTGCTACTGATAGCGATGTTGAGCTGGTGAACCTAATTTTTAGTGCAGATTAAATATTCTTGCATAATACTGATTAGAATTATAAAATTATTGCTATTAATTATTAATATTAGATATACTTTATCACTGCTAAACTTATTTAATTGCTTTCCCTAAAGTCAAAGCCAAAAATCTTCATTCTTATAAAATTAAAGTGGCAAAACTGTTCTTAAAAAAATGTGTAATCACAAATTTTCAGCGGTACACAATATAGGAAACATACAATAACAGTAAATTTAATTACTCGAATAAGTCAGTAATTAAAAGCAATTGCAAGGCTAGAAACTTGATCGTATAAATAATTCAATTAAATATTATCGAGATGTTATTGTTTCTCATATAATTATTTGACTTTAGTATCGAATCTATATTCAAATCATTCATAAAATTACTTTTTATATGTAAATATTCAATATTAATGCAAGTAGAACGAGTATTGTCTACTTAGAAATTAATTAAATATTTCTGATAATCGCCAATTTGCGATAATTTTGCAGCAATTAAAAAGCTAAATTTTTTATAAAACTGATTATGCTATAAAAGTATTTTTTCTTTTAGCAATCATGTGAAGGCATAGCTCACTACGAAAAAAAAGCTAAACAGTATGTATTTTGCGCTCAGTGTATATTAAAACAACATAAAAAGCATAGACTTATCGAGTACTGCGCTTTTCGGTAAATTTGTATTTATTTATTCTTTTCAAATTGTTGATTTTCATCTATCATAGTCGCAGTATTGTTTGTACTTAATTAATTCATAATGACTGTTAAACTATGTTAGCAATTAAATTATAAAGACTTAATAAAAAAGTTTTTATTGCTTTGTTTTAAAAGTAGTTGTTGAACAAAAAAATAAATCCATAATGATTGGTAGATTAAGTGTTAGAATATATAGTGAGCTAAACCTTCAGTTAAGCATAAAGCTGTCTTACAATATTAATACATAATTCCGAAATTTACATGAAAATACATTGAATATTTTGTTGAATTTAGATGAAATTACTGCAACTAATTTTAAAATTGTGCTCATTTAAAAAAATAGTTTTAATTCATATAACTTTAATGATTAAGTATCACTTACTAGCTATTTGATAATTGAAACATACTAGCTGTCAAGTAAGTGCCTAAGTTTTAGGTTGTTATTCACATTCTAAATAATAGCGATTGGTGGAAGAATTTAATCATTCAACTGAATAAGTTGTAAATGAGTTTGGCTACTATTTGATTAAGAATTACAATTTCTAACTAACCTTTTTTTTTACACTTCGTTTGTAGTTAAATTTTGAACTTTCAGAAAACGCTACATAAGCGCCGAAAAAACGCATGAGAAATTCAAGAAGACCGTTGAAGAAATGTTACAAATTCTTAGTGTATCAGTCTCGGAATCATTAGAACCACTTATTATTGAGGCTAATTCTTAATTAAGTTGAAATTTGCATAAGTGTCATTAATTTGAGATTGCATTTTGTGAAATTTTGCATGAGATTATGTCGTTGAAAATTTATCTTTAGTTTGACCGAAATTAAATTTTAATGTCAACTTTGTGAAATACTTTAAATGGAATTGAAAATTTTCTTTCAGCCTTTACGGGATTTAACATTAGCAGAACTAATTAAAGCGTGTGATTTGCTTTCGAGGCCTGATGAGATGGATATCAATAATGAGATTGAGTCCGTTCTTGGCACATTCCAGAAACGAATTAAAAATATTGTAGATGACCTCGAAATTTGTATTAAGGTATTTTTAATTAAAGCTTAAGTTTCTGGACTATTTTAAATTAATGAAAGCAATCATTTGAAAGTAATAAAAGTTGCTTTTTCCATTTTCGTAAAACATTTACCATCTTATTGCTTTACGCAAAACTAAATGACAATCAGTCTTACAAGAAGTCGCTGGTTTTTGATGAGTAAATTTAAGTAAATTTAAGTTAGTCAGCTTCTTATAATTTGTAAAGATTATGATGTTAAAACGCTTGAAATATGTGAAGTATGAATTACTTCTCACAACGTATAATCATATAATTCATGATTACACGTGATACATTCTAGAATGTTATGCAAACGTGTTTACGACAAAAAGCATTAACAACAGCAGATGGACCTACAGAGCTATGATCCTTGCAAACTATTTACATCAAATTTTGCCAGTATTAACTTGCATTTAAAAAAGTATTTTCTTATTTAGATTTTGAAATAATCTGAATTAATTGTGATCTTGGCTTACTTTGTTTCGATTCACTACATCTAATAAATCATTTTGACTGATTGAATCACAAATTCATTGCCTGAATCCACACACATGTGCACATATACTGATGAAAAACCGTAGAAGTACAATACATACGAGAAAAGTTTCACGCAATGCGCATAACACAGTTACACACATACACATACTACATAAAAACTATATGATCGTGATTCCAGCGGTCTAAAGATTTCAACAAATACAAGCATGCATTAATTAAAGCCAGATTAGTGTATAAAGTACATAAAGGAGAGATGAATTTATAGTGCTGAGAGGATACTTTAATCGTTACGCAAATAACATTCATCTTTGACTTCACTATAATATCATTATTACCAGCACTTCATATGCAACTCTGCTTTATTTTCTATTGATGAGCTATTTCTTCCAAATCCTTCATATCGTTAAATCAAAATGATGGAATTAATTGTGTACGCGGAGAAATTTTTTTTAGCATCATTGAGAGAAGTAAATAATCTAACATTAGTCACCATTTGATCATTAATCTAAAAGATCACCTGCTGCATCAACCAAATCCGAGCCCAAAATCTAGAGCAACAGAAGTTTTTTTAGTAATAACATTAGTGTATTGAAAAGTCACACATACATAGTTAAGCATTATCTAAAAATTACTAAAGTAGATATTTCAGAATTCCGATTGTATATTTGTAGTAACTCATCACCAATTCACTGAAAACTTTTTATTGCTTTCATTTATAGGACCAACTCAGCTGATCTAGCTTAAAGTTACAATGCAACACTAAGTTATTATGTATGCCACAACGACTTTTGTTTAGACTATAGACTTCGTACATTAAAGATTCTGCGGGTCAACTCGCATTCCATTACCATACAATAAAAGCACGTGGTATAATACACGTGGGAATATATACATGAAAACGCACACATACTTCGGGGAAGAAAGCACAAACAACGGAGAAATACGATACATACACGGGTAAAATACAACACATATGGAAAAAACATAACATACACACGAGAAAACACAGCACACATACACTGGTAAATGACAACACGCATAAACGAGTGAAATACAACACACACACGGGGAAAGAGAACACACATGCCAGAGGAATACAACACACACGGGAGGAAGGTAGGCAGGGAAGAAAAACGCACACGAAAAAAATACAACGCACATAGGGCAAATGCATTACTTACAGCAGAAAGATACAATCCGTACAAAGAAGAAACGCTTTTTTATATTCTATGTCTACGTGGTATACAATGACAAGTTGACTAATCTTAAGTTCAAATCCGAAATAAAAAAAATTCCCCAGTTCAAATTTTCAAATAAATATATTTCACAATCCGAAATACTAATAAATAAACAAAGCTCTGTAGTCCAAATCTTAAATGAACTTCACTCTGTCGTTCTCATATCTTAAATAAAATATGCACCGCGTATATTCATGAACAAATTTTTTGTGTGAGCAATACTGCTTTTTTTTCTTCTACAGAAAAATTGCTTCTACACTCTGCTACTAGCAAAAAATTTTTATTACTTCAAAGAAATAAAGTGCCAACTAACTGAACTAGATTTGCAGAGTGCAATTCATGGGTTCCACACAAAATTCTTTTTCATGAATATACATGATACGAAATTTTTTACAGATGTGCAACTCACCAATTCCCTTTTAAATATAAATCCTGCTCGCTTACCCATATCCATATCTTTGTGTTATTTTAAGTGCAAACAACAATAGAAATTCATTGTATCTGAATGGATAACTTTCTAAGGATGCCACATTCTACTGGAATCGCTTTAGACTGGTAAATTTATTGAAATACATTTGCCATATTTTCCAAAAGTATATAATTTATTTTCCATCACTTAAAAAAAATTAATGTATTTCAGAAACAAATAAAAGCCAGTCTCACAAACGGTTAGCACCGCAGTACTGCAAAATGCCAATGACAAAACGAAATTCTGTTCATCCTTCAGAAATATTCACAGAAGCGAACTGAAATTATGGTAATATATAGTTAAATAGATAGATCATA